ATGATAAAAGACTTTTCACAGTTTACTGACTCTTAAATAGCGCCCCTTTTTGTTTTTACAAGGATAAGCTATTAAATAATATAATTTTATAAATTTTGTGGCTAAATAGGAAATTAGCAATTCAATCTGATACCCTCTATTTGATAAATATTATTTTACTGAAGTATTTACCTACTTTAAGAATTTAACTGACTGAATACAAAATCACTATAAAACTTGCAAAATTATATTTTTTACTGCCCAATTTTAATTAAATACTGCCAAAAGTAATGAAAAATGCTGACCACTTTAATCAAAATACATCCAGAGGTGATTATCAGCAGTGAGTATTATATTTTTCTAATCTAACAATTATTATTTTGCTTATGAATTTTTTTCAAAAGTTACAGAAAAGAAATAATTATAATTTTATTAAATGATATATAGAATAATAAATTATATTATTCAAAAGAAACAATTCTAGAACGTATATGTTCTCCAATTGAAGAGAGAAAATTGGGCAAGTCCCTTCTCTCTTCTAAATAATCAATGCATAAATTTTTTAAAATAGTTTGTTTCGTTGCATAAATACGATTTTTTTTGGGAGTGTATGTCCCAATATTCCATTGGACGATTTTTCCCATATCAACCGCTATTTCCATCCTTATTTTTTCGAGTAGTTCCCATATCTTCGGTTTTTTGTTGCCTACAATATGCTTAAATCGGTTATTCCATCCTTCACATACATTGTTTGTTCGATTTTCCCCAGCAATCGTAACATTGAACACATTCCATGTTTCTGGTGGGAACAATGGCTCTACTTGCCTTTGAGAGTTTTTCCCATGTCTCAATTCTCCATTCACATAATTTTTATCAAAATAAAACAATAATTCATTGTTTTCATCCGATACAATGGTTTTTAAATACTCCATACCTCGTTTGACATCGTGTATAGGTAAGAATGCTAATCCATCGATCATAGCTGCAAATAAGCATAACATTGGATCATTCCGATATGATGATTCTAACCCCAATTAATGAATCTTTCTATGAGTTGATTGAGTTAGATGATAAAAACATCCTTGGATGTTGATATCTCTACCTAAAAGTTGAAAAAATATATATTAAAATTATTGTATAGGTTTTATTTAATATTTATGTCTTTATCAATTTTTATTAATTGTACTGTGTGACAAGAAAAATGGGAGAAAAAATAAATAAAAACAAGTTTTGGTGCAGAATTTGACACTGAGTTCGAATTCGTTTTCTAAGTTTTCCCTTCACGTCAAGTTTTAAAAATATTATCGTATAAAGGCAACTTTTCGAAATCTCAAAAATGGTAATACGGATATATTTTAAAAAGTATCAAATGAAAATCCCTGAAAATTGGTGATAGTGTTAGATTTATATTTCCTTATAAATTTATTAATTTTTATAATTTTTTATCGATTGCTTTTTGAGAAAAATGGTAAAGAATTTCGTTTTGGGGGGTCTTAAGTTTTCAATTTAAATTCCCGGCAAGAATCGTATAAATATGTTGGCGGACTACTGCTGGAGTATCTTTTTTGAAAATAAATCATTAACTTCATATTCGCGGAAATATATTTAGATTTACCATTAAATGTTTTTAAATTCGATAAATTTTATGTTATTGTTTAATTTGTTTTAAATTCAATAAATTTATTGTATATTACAAGTTAAATCCTATATAATAATGAAGGAGGGGGTGAGACAACGGACCGATAAAAGGTTTATTAAAAGTAAAATATGAGATAGGTTAGCTTAGCATAATATATTTATTTAAATATGAGAAATGTAACTATTTCATTTAAAATAAATTGTTTGGGAATCGTACCTTGTGCAGTGTAGCGAAGAGAATGAAAGCTACAATAAATATATTAAATGTAAGCTATATTAAAAAAGAATCTAGAAAAATAATTTTCCGGAAAAAAAATCTCCGTTTTTAAGATAATTAAAATTACAAAATTAGGAGAAAAAATTCCCTATAAATACAACGAAATAATAATTCTCAAATAAAATATTTAAAAATTTTGATAAAATTAATTCTGAAGAATTATTAGGATTATGTTTTATACGTATTTATAGATATATAAAACGAAAATCAACATTTTTCAAATTATATTCCTAATAAATTTGGTCAATCGAATATTTAGTGAGTGGTCGGTTTTGAGCTCGGCAATCGGTCAAATCAAATTATTTTCAAAATATTTTTTAGAATAATGCTTAGCACGTAAATATACACGTATAAAGAGATTTTGATAAATAACGCCAGCAATATTTACTTTAAAAAATTTCCATTATTTTACTATTCTAAACCTACTCATTAAACATTAAAGAAACCTAAAAAAAATTTTTAATTTTTAGGTTTTTCATATGTATATATATACCCAAATATAAAAAAAATTCTATCCAATCATCATTCCGGTTTCCTAAAATGATACATATTAAAACATATAACGCCCTCTTACGGATATATATTTGTTAATTTTTAAAATTGAATAAAATGTATATTTGTTTTAATAAGCTAGAAAAATAAATTTCTTATTAATAATATTAAATAAAAATAAAATTATATACTATATCATTTAATCAGTATTCTTCATTTATAATAAAAAAATGATTTAAATATATTTTAAAAAAAGTTTAAAAAATTATCATTAAAAAAATATACGTAATAAATTTTTGATTGATTTATAATTGATAATGATTGATTGCCTTTTAGCAATGCAGTTTAGCAATGCATTAGCAATTCAATGTATAGTGAGGAAATTTTTTCCGGGGAATTATTTTCCAGGGGAATTTTATTCCGGGGATTTTTTTTCCGGAGAATTATTTACCTGGGAATTATTTTCTGGGGAATTTTTTTCCGGGTAATTATTTTCTTGGGGATTTTTTTCCGGGGAATTAATTTCCGGGGATTTTTTTTCCGGGGATTTTTTTTCCGGGGAATTAATTTCCGGGGATTTTTTTTCCGGGAATTTTTTTCCGGGATTTTTTTTCCGGGGAATTATTTTCCGGGATTCCTATAACACTTCTCTACACGAATCTTCGAAATTTACACCATATGAGCTGATGTATGGTAGAAAAGCAAAACAAACTTATGGGGTATGATAAATCTCATTTTATAATCATATACTATATATTATGTCTCTATTTAAGATTGACGAGGAAGAGGATATTGATCCTGACAATGTACCTGAATCAGATTTGGAATCTTGTTTTCAAGATACAGTTCCAGGATGAATGATATTCATGAGATAGCTGCTGGCAATATAGATCTTGCTCAACTTAAACAGCAGAGGGATTATAGAAGTCGTAATGCTGGTAGAAATAATCATTATTTAGTCAATGATCAAGTGCTTATTTGAAACAGCCGTCGGGTTGATAAGAAAGGTGGTAAAATGACCAGACCTTGGATGTGTCCTTATACAATAGTTAGGGTTCTTAAAAGTGAAATTTATCATTATTATTAAATTATTTTTAATATATAGGCAATGTTGAGCTCATGAATGCTAGCGGTAGCATTTTAAAGAGCAAAGAAATATATGTAATATAAAACATTACTTTGCAAGAAAAGGAATATAATTGTCTTAATTACTTAGTAATATACATATTTTTTAGATGATAAAAACTCTGAGGTTGTGAGTTATAAGTTAAATGCTCAAGAATAAAAAATAATATTAAATCTTAACATGTCAGTCATAAATGTCAATATCACTAAATTGGAATTTATTTAAAACAGGAATTCATTTAGAACGTTGCACCGGGCCTGCAGGTCTCTCTGTTTCGCAGAAATAAATTCGCGACAATGGCTTTGAGAAATTGTCTTCACTATAAATATTACGCGAAGATAAATTCGCAGAATCGGTTTCACGATTTTACCTTCGCTATAAAAACTTTTCGCGATAAATGACATTCGCTATAAAAAGATTAGCTGAATTGACCTCAGCGTCTCTATGAGCGGGAGGGGCAGGAACAGTTCGCATCCTATTTTTTGAGGGGGGTATGGTAAGGCTGCTTTAATGAGGGTAGTATAAATTTTTGAGGGGTTATCTATTAAATTTTGAGATGAAATAAGACAAAATTTATTGCTGTAAAAATTAATACTTTTATTATAGAATTATTATAATACAATTCATAGACCAAATCTATATATTGCAAACAATCATACACATTGTTTTCCAAATAAAGCTTTCTGCTATCCTTTTAAACGTAATTTAAAAGGTTTAGATATTTCAGCCATAATGACATAATAATCAATTCATTGTAAATAATGGAGGTTTTAATTGAATTTATTATATAAAAAATAAATTCTATATATTCACAAAATATCGATAGTTGGTAGTAGAGATAGATTAATTTAAGTTATCATTATAAATTCTCTAAAATAAATTAAAAAGGTGGAAATAATAATAGGGAGACACCGCCGCCGAAGGTGGTGTAAATATTTTAGGTGGGTAGGCAAAGGTGTTTGAAGGGGGTTTGCATCCAGCGAAAATCCTGTCATGTAGACGCTGATTTACCTGATACGGAATAGATCCACTAAATACGTCATGATTAATTTTTATATCCATCCATAAAAGAAAATCGTTCATTTGAAATTGATTATTTTATTTTAATCATATTTATTTACAGATATAACTTACATTAAAGAAATTAAGCTTAAAATCAGCCATCACCCACCTTTAAAGTAATTAAATTATACTGTAGTTCTCGGGTATAGGCTTTTTCTTTGTCCCACTCCTTCTAAATTAAAGCCTATAGAGGTTTAAGCATTTTTCGAAATGTTGTGCCTACAAGTACGTGCGGCTTGCCCACAAACGTGTGGAGGGCTCCTCATATTTTTATTTTTATACCCAAATTAAATTGTTCCAATTAGATGCAAATGAGGAAAACCTAGCATAGCTCTGTTGAATCTTCAACGTTAGAGGACAAAAGCGCTATATATCACGTATCACGTAAATATGTCGTTCACTTTAGACAGGTTTTTGACCAACGTTCTAGAATAAGATAAGATAAGATTACCCAAATTTTTAATAAATAGATTACACCAAAATTATTAAAAACCAATAGTTTAAAGTTGAAACTAATAATTTACTTTTATTAATTTTTTTAATTTAACAATGTTCTCATGTTCAACGATGATGCACATTCCTACTTCACAATTTTTGAAAGTAATTTAATCTACATATATTTCACTAAACCTTATTAAAACTATTAAAGATTATAATAAAATGATTAAATTTTTATTAATATCAGGGAAACAAGGGAGAAATATATTTATCTTTAAAAAATTTTTGGTTTTATCAATTTAAATATTTATATATTACTTGATATAGTATAAAATATATTTTTTTAATTTATGATTGTTAATTAATCTTAAGCATTTTGATTTATTTTGTTGCCTTTGTTTCTCTTCATTAGATAACATGGAATTGAGTCACTGTGGCATTGGTATATTATATTATTATTTTTAATTGATACCAATACCCAAAAAATTAGACATACCAATACTAAATATTTAGGTTTGCTAAAGTAGAAAATATGGCTTGTTATAATAGAAAACCCAACTTGTCAAATTGTAAAGATGCATACCAATATGACATTCATGACAAGATTAGGGGACCTAATTTTTCTTGAATGTTATAATAATATACAACTAGTGCTGTTACTACAAAAAAGAAATATGTTACCGTTACTCGTTATGTATGAAAAAAGGAATGTGTTACTGTTACTCATTACCTTTTTAAAAAAGGAACGTACATTACTGATTTCAAAAAGTAACAGGTACTGGTTACCTTAAAAATTAAATATAATATACAAAAAATATTTTATTCCTGCAAATAATATTTAAAACCTATACAAAAAAGGATATATAATAAGATAAGATTTTTTTATAAAAAATTTTCATATATATATATCAGAGACCTGCAGGCCAGGCCCTAAGCCTGCCCGGGTACCAGAGCAGGGCCATATTATAAATTTTTAAAATATACCCGGACTGGGCTGGGCTGGTGAAAATTTTTTTTTAAAAAATACCCAGACCGGGCTCGGCTGTATTTTTTTAAAAAATTTATACAACATGAATTATTATATTCGTCATTTAGATATGTTTATAATGATTATGTATAGTTATGATTATTATAATGTTTGGTAAAAGTTAACACAAGCTAACACTCATAGTATCTATTACATAATAAAATTATTGTTTTCCTGCCATGGAATAAATATGCAAAGGATTAAATACATTATTATTTATTAAATTTTTTTTATAAATACATAGTATATTCTCAAAATATTATTTACACAAATTTTTTATAGTATCAATTTGTAATATACTAAATATCTGTCTAGAATTTAAAAAAATAAAATATTTTTAGTGTTGTTAAACGGCTCGCTTTGAGCTGATTTTTAAAAACGGCTAACTCAGTTTTTTATCCAGAAAAATAATATGCAAGCCTGAAAATTTTTCTCATAGAAGAAGCAAAGGTCTAGACATATATTATCAAAATTTTGAGGCTCAGTCAATATTTTGTGTCGAAATTTTGAGGCTCAGTCAATATTTTTCTGGCGAAAATATTGAGTCAGCCGTTTTTAAAAATTTGCTCAAAATGAGCCGTTTAACAACATTAAATATACTTGCTTATTAAATAATAATACTCGCCGAAAAATATGATAAAGAAATAATGATTTTTTTGTATATACCAGGTCGAATATAATTTTAAAAAATTCTGAACTGGGCCTAAAAAAATTTTTTTTTAAAAATCCAAGCTGGGCCTCAAAAAAATTTTTTTTTTAAATGGCCGGGCCTAAAATTTTTAAACCCAAACTGGGCTGTAAAAAATTTTAAAAAAAAATCAGGGCAGGGCTTGGCTGGAAATTTTTTAATCCGGGCTGGGCCTTACAAATGGTACCGCACAGGTCTCTGATAATTATCAAAAATAATTTATTATATACAAGATATATCTTTTTGTAACAATTGATTTTTTAAAATTATGACCTAGCAAACAATATGCTTAATGCTCAAAACACCTTTCGCCATGCTAAACACAAGTTCAATTGGTGCAGAGAATGGGAGAGTTGTATTACATTTAATAAATAAAAATTTTAATTCAGGAAATTTATTAAAAATATTTAATGTATCATTTTGAAAAAAGCTTAATGATCATCTTCACAAAAATCTTCACTCATTTCCTCATCAAAATTTTTTTTATTTTTATAAAAAAATATTCTAATATGTGTGTTGGATAAAGGAATTAAATCTGTTATTTCTTTATCAAGATCTTATCTCAAATTCTATCTTTGTTGACCTTTAATTTTATCCAGGATCAATCCAATTTAAATAGCAAATGAATTATTGCTGATATTTATATTCATCTTTATAAATGTGTTTGAATCTATTGAAAATAAAAGATAATCAAAATATAGCATGTTGTAAGTAATTTTTGAACTGTATACCTTTTATTTATGCCTTTCAGGATTGAATTAATAAGTGGCTTACATACTTGTCATTATCTGATCTGTAATTCAGATTTATTACAAGATTCGTCAAATTTTTGGCAAGTCTCCATAATAAGACTAGCTATTTATTTCACAGTTATAAAAAGAGTTCCATCTTGTTAGGTTTAATCAGATATCTTCCCGTGTTTTCCTTAAAAATGGATGCACAGTTTGAAGATTGCTCATATTTTTTTTACAATGGCCAACACTTAGAAAATGTAATTTTTGAAATGGTTTTAAAATGGACATCGTTACCTGCCCAATGTCAACATTTACAATGAGATTTAAAGTGTGTGCTGAACAGGAATGATGCTTAGGTAAGTACACAATACTATCATTAGTTTTTGATTTTTAAATAGATCTATTAATGGCAGAGGAACTATTTCATCGCCCACTTGATTCCTCTCCTTGTTCATATACTCTAATAAATTTTTAATAAATATATTATAATTTTTTTACTTGAAAGCTATTGTATAATTTCTATCATTGTCGGTAATGCATTTGGTCACTTATCTTATGTGTGGTAAACATTTTAAAGATTATTTTTGCTAGATAATCAAATCTGTGTTTTTGGTTTAGCCTTTTACAAACTAAGCAAGCTGAAACCCTCTCAAGAGTGTCTAGAAGAATTTTTAAAGGATAATATTATTTATCTATAAATTATATATTTTGTGGAAAGCCTGGCGGAAGTTGCGACCCAACCTCCCCTCTTGGATTTAATATGCCGATGATAAGCTGACCAAGAATCTACAGTTGTACAGACAATTTTTATACAAAATAAATTCCCTAATTTCTTTAGCCTAAACATCACATTTTTAGTTGGCTGCAATTATTTGTAATATTAATAAATGCAGTGCTTTCTACAATTGAAAATGGTTGTAATTCTTCAATTACAAAATTGAAAACTGATTCATTAACAGCTTATTGTGCTATTTATCTTTGATGTAGGTGGATTCTGCATCTCAATGAGTGTGAGTTGATTGGCTTCAATTTTTTTTATTACTATTCACATGTTCATTAATCTCTTTAATTATTCCATATATATTTATCTAAACAAAGTTTTTTAAAATCACTATTTTATTCTTAAAATTTATTAGCAATTGAAGTTAAACCATAGTAATACTAAAACAAGAAATAGAAGATATTGTTTAAACCCAATATAATATTTTGAACCATTACCAATATTTTCTTAATCTGGGTTTTAAAACTTGGTTCCCAGCCCTATACTATTGTACAATTTAATTGATTATATTTTAATTTCATGATTAAGCTTTTCAAAATATTATGAAAGAATACTTCTTTTAATGGATATTTTATAATAATATTCTATTATTAAAGTAATGTTTAAAATTATAATATATTAATTCATCTTTTTACCTTCATAAGCTTTTTAAAGTTTGAACTGCTGACATTGAGGATGAAATATTTTGTGTTGGAACATAATTTACATTTACAAAGTGTAGACTTTATATCCTTAATTTTCTTTATTGGTGTAAAATATGTTTCAAATTGGGACCAAAGAAGAGTTAATAAGTACTATGGACATAATATTCTTAAAATAAATTATAAAATAGAACAATAATATTTATTACCATTTGCTTTGAATTTTGATTGAATATTAATTAGATTAACATTCGACTGAATATTTAACAACGAGAATTTAAAATAAAAATGAAGGAAGGGTGGTTGATATGAATTAAAAACTCGGCTTAAATTAATATTAAAAAATAAATAAAGGTAATTTTATTGAAAATATATTTTTCTTTTTTAAATATTTTTTAAGAAAAAATTCAAGTAACGTTTTGCGTTACCGTTATTCACAAAAAAGAAACGCGTTACCGATAATCGTTACCTCTAGAAGAAGGTAACGAATGGCTTTCCTTTTCTTCAAAAAAGGTAACGACGTTACTTTTTTGACGTTACTTTACAGCACTACTTAAATATGATTTAACCTGAAATGCTTAATTCTTCCAATGGGTCGGAATAGGAGGAAACCTCTTTATTTTGTGATTTATAAGTGTACGCTTGTTACTCCTCATTCAGAAGGGTTTGTCTCGATTCGGGAGACAATTTAGACATTTCTTCTGCGTATATTTGGCAAGTATTTTTGTTTCAGAGACTTTTCTTTTCTTAGTGTTTATGTTCAGTTTTATATTCATGTGGGTTTATAGGATGAATATGAGGCATATTATCCAATGAATAATGATTTTCACTGTAATATTTCAAAATAGCGACATTTTTCAGCATTATATAATGTAAATTTGTGTCTTTTAAAACTTATTATAATTTTATGATAATTGTAGGAATAGCCTTCATGATAAATTTTACCGTGCTTATTTAACGGAAGAATAAACATAAAAAAATTAATTTATTAAAATTGTCAAAAATATTTAAAATGGTAAAAGTAAATTTTATAAAAAGTAATAATATAACAAAATGAAAATCGTTTGATTCGAACAAACAATATATTACCCCAATATATAAATTTATTTGAACATAACTTTACTTTCAACGTTATAAATAATAATAATATTAAGGAACAAATTAGGATTATCAAATAAAATAAGTTTCTATTTTATTATAAGTCCCTGGTGTGATTTCTTAAATGAATTATATATTTAAAATTATAATATTTATAAAAATAAAGATGATTATTTTTTAGAATAAATAGTAT